CCTGGGGATTTCCCTCAGAGGTCCCAAGTGTCTGCTAGGATACTCCCTTTGAGTCCTATGACTCCTTGAAATAAACATTTAATCTTTGCTGCATCTATGCTGGGGCCCTCTGCATACCTTTCTGAATTCCAGTCCCTCCTTTTAGAAAGTCTTTCCCAAAGGCTCTGAGCCTCAGAAAAGGAGGTCATGGTTGGCTCTTTTCCAGAATGTGTGTGTATGTGTGTGTGTTGCTAGGGATGGAGTGTCACACACACTAAACAGGCATTGTACCATTGAGCCATCCCTAACTCTGTGGGCTCTTTTTTTTTTTTGTAATTTATTTTTCTTGGCAGGTCCTGGGGCTTGAACTCTGGGCCTGGGCACTGTTCCTGAACTCCTTTTTGCTCAAGCTAATGCTCTACCACCTGAGCCACACCACCAATTCCAGCTTTTTCTGTGATTCGTTGGAGATCAGAATCTCAAGGACTTTCCTGCCAGCCAGGCTGGCTTTGAACTTCCGTCCTCAGCTCTCAGCCTGCCGAGTAGCTAGGATTACAGGTGAGACCCATGGGCTCCCAGCTTGTAGGATCTTTTTTTCTTTCTTTTTTCCTTCCTTCCTTCCTTCCTTCCTTTCTCCCTCCCTCCCTCCTTCCTTCCTTCTTTCTTTTCTTGTCGTTACGGGGCTTGAACTCTGGGCTTGGGCACTGTCCCTGAGCTCTGCAGCTCAAGGTGAGCATTCTACCATTTGAGCCACATCATCACTTCTGGTTTTCTGATGGTACATCGGAGGTAAGAGTCTCACAGGGACTTTCCTGCCCAGGCTGGCATTGAACCATGATCCTCAGATCTCAGCCTCCTGAGTAGCTGGGATGACAGATGTGAGGCACCAGCGCCTAGCTCGGATCTTCTGTTTTAAATGTAAGGTTTTATTTTGCTTTTGGTTGTACATGGATTTGAACTCGGGGCCTCATGCTTGCTAGGCAGCCATTATCACCTGAGCCATGCTCCCAGAGCCAAATGTTTAGTTCTAAAATATTAATTCATTTTAAGGACAGGTTAAATTATATGAGTAGCTCAAAAGTCAGGTGATTCAAAGGCTGTATTTAAGTAGATGGGTGGGGTGGTGCATGTCTGCAATCCAAGCTCCTGGGTGGCTGGGGCAGGAGAATGGACAATTAAAGGCTAGCTGGTCTACAGCGTGGGAAGGAGATGGAGGGTGGAAGAGCACCTGCCTAGCGAGCTGGAGACCATGATTTCCTGCCCACACTACCAAAACGGGGTACTGAGTAAAGTCTTTCTGTCTTACCTCTACTTCTTCAGGTAACAATTGCTGTGTACTCTTCCAGAGTCTTCCAACATGAATATGCTTGTCATAAACAAATATATGACTTCTTCCTCCACAACAGATATATATCCTGTTACTATCCTATTCCCCTTTTTGTTGTTTTTGTTGGTTGTGGGGCTGGAACTCTGGGCTCTGTCTCTGAACTCTTTAGCTCAAGGCTAGTGTTTACCACTTGAGCCACAGCCCTACTTCTCGTTTTCTGGTGGTTAATTGGAGAGAAAAGTCTCATGGACTTTCTTGCCTGGGCTAGCTTTGAAATGTGATCCTCAGATCTCAGCCTCCTGAGTTGCCAGGATTACAGGCGTGAGCCATTGGTGCCCAGCTACGATTGTTTTGTTTATTTTGCTACCAGTATTGGGGCTCAAACTCAGGGCCTGGACACTGTCCCTTAGATTCTTTTTTTTTTTTGTTTGTTTGTTTATTTCAAGGCTAGCACTCTACCACTTGAACCACAGAGCCATTTCTGGCTTTTTTTTTTCTGAGTAATTTATTAGAGATAAGAGTCTCACAAGCTGGGAACTGGTAGCTCAAGCCTGTAATCCTAGCTACTCGGGAGGCTGAAATCTAAGGATTGTAGTACAAAGCGACCTTGGGCAGGAAAGTCCCTGTGAGACCCATATCTCCAATGAACCACCAGAAAAACGGAAATGGAGCTGAGGCTCAAGTAGTAGAGCGCTAGCCTGGAGCAAAGAGTTCAGGGACAGCTCCCAGGCCCTAGGCTCAAACCCCATGCCCAGAAAACGTCTCACAGACTTTCCTGCCTGGGCTGTCTTTGACCTGTGATCCTCAGATCTTAGTCTCCTGAGTAGTGAAGGTGACAGGTGTGAGCCACCAGGGCCCTTCCCATGTTCTGCTTCTATCTCACCTTCCACCCAGGGTGAAATTATACCACATCTGGGGAATCCTGCATAGCGTCACTCTACAGTGACCCCTGTCAAGTTGGTGCTTGTGAACTAGATATTGTATATTTATGTCGATGCAGCTGTTAGGGACAGTACTTTGTCAGCACACAGCAAAAGGACTAACAAGACACTAACAAGATCGCTGATACAGCACTTCCACAGGCAGACACTGATCATCAGGAAAGAAGCAAGGGTGTGCTCCAAGACTACAGGGATATTCTCCTCAGCATTGATAATTACAGTGGAAACATGCAAAGAATTATGTTTAACTAACTACAGAATTGATTAGGGAGATGTTTGTATAGGTATGTGATATAACACTATTTTATCCCAAGGCAATGGTGACTAGGAAGAATATTGAGTGCTCTGAAAGAGTGTTCACAGAATCATGGTAGGCAGGTATAAAAAGCAAATTTCAAAGCAATGTGTAAATTTATTCATATATATATATATATATAGAGAGAGAGAGAGAGAGTGTGTGTGTGTGTGTGTGTGTGATGGGGCTTCAATTCTGGGCCTGATTACTGTCCCTGAGCTCTTCAGCTCAAGGCTAGCACTCTACCACTTTGAGCCACAGTGCCACTTCCAGTTTTCTTTCTTTCTTTTTTTTTTTTTTTTGGGTCCAGTGGTGGGGCCTGAACTCTGGGCCTGGGCGCTGTCCCTCAGCTCTTCAGCTCAAGGCTAGTGCTCTACCACTTGAGCCACAGCGCCACTTCCGGCTTTTTTCTTTTTGCTTATGTGGTGCTGAGGAATCGAACCCAGGGCCTCAGGCATGCAAGGCAAGTGCTCTACCACTGAGCCACCTTCCCAGCCCCAACTTCCAGTTTTCTTGTGGCTAATTGGAGATAGGAGTCTCATGGATTTTCTTGCCCAGGTTGGCTTTTTTTTTTTTTTTGGGTCCGGTCGTGGGGCCTGAACTCTGGGCCTGGGTGCTGTCCCTCAGCTCTTCAGCCCAAGGCTAGCACTCTAACACTTGAGCCACAGCGCCACTTCCAGCTTTTTTTCTTATGTGGTGCTGAAGAATCAAACCCAGGGCCTCAGGCATGCAAGGCAAGTGCTCTACCACTGAGCCATCTTCCCAGCCCCCCTTTTTTTTTTTGTCAGTTGTGGTTCTTGAACTCTGGGTCTGGGCACTGTCCCTCAGCTCTTCAGCTCAAGGCTAGTACTCTACCACTTCAGTCACAACACCACTTCCGGTTCTCTGGTGGTTAATTGGAGAAGATTCTCACAGACTATTCTGCCCAGGCTGGCTTTGAACTGTGATCCTCAGATCTCAGCCTCCTGAGCAGCTAGGATTACAGGCATGAGCTACCAGCACCCAGTCTCCCTTAGTTTATTTGCTCAAAGTTGATGCTCTACTATTTGAGCCATAGCTTCATTTCTGGCTGGTTAGTTGGAGATTAATAGTCTCATGGAGGGGCTGGGAATGTGGCTTTGTGGTTGAGTGCTTGCCTAGCATGCATGAAGCCCTGAGTTCCATTCCTTAGTACACAATAAACAGAAAAAGCTAGAAGTGGCGTTGTGGCTCAAGTGGTAGAGTGCTATCCTTGAGCAAAAGAAGTTCAGGGACAGTACCCAGGCCCTGAATTCAAGCCCCAGGCCTGGCAAAAACAAAGGAACAAACAAAACAAAATTTCCATGGACTTTCCTACCGTGGGCTGGCTTCAAATGACAATCCTCAGATCTGAGCCTCCAGAGAGGAGCTAGGATTACAGCTACCAGCACCCTGCATCTCAAAGGAAATTTAGATAATAACTATAGAGTATCTGTTTATCAAACACTGGATGAAGGTCAGTCATTATCATCTAATTTCTGGGTGGGTGAGAGCAGAGCCCCCTCAGGAAACTGCTTGGCACTGGGTGTGACTTTTCTGTAGTTTTCCCTTTCCTCTCTAATGTGAGGTCCTATGTAGAATTTTAGCCACGCCTCTCGGGAGGTAGACATTATGTAAAAATTAAAGAGTGTGTAACCTCAAGAGTACTGGAACTGGAGCTGGATATGTCATGCACCCCTTTAATTCCAGCAGTCAGGAAGCTGACTGGGCTTCATAGCAAAACAGTCTCAAGAAACAGACAGATAAATAAAAGTAAAGGGCGTGGGAGAGGAAAAAAGAAAAGAAAAGAAAAGAAGTACTGGTTCTAGGACCCACAGTCTGGCCTGTGCCCTGTACTGCTCTTATTTGGAGGACAACCCCGGGAAAGGCGCCTGTTACTGATTTAGGCTACCTAGCAGGTGACCTCTTGGGAGACAGAAGGACAGGTGGACCAATCCGGCTTTGCAGTCCAGTGGAAAGTGAGGCATGTGATGACCGAATGACTGATGAGTAAGTGGACAGACAGCCGTCTGCCCGAAGGTCAGGCGAGTGACTTTGCGACTGACCAGAGACTGAAGGGAAGCGCTGAAGTCCCTAGGAGCCGCCATAAGCTCTCTCTGCCGCTAGGGGTCGCCACTGCCACGTCCAGCACGGCACGCTCGCGGATGGCCCCGGGGCGGAGCCGACAGTGGGGCGGGGCCATCGCGCGCAGGGGGCGGAGCCATCGTGTCACGGACGCGCCAGGGGGCGGGGCGCAGG